ACGAATTTAACCTGTTTGGTTTGTGTAGTATCTTACCATTCGAGTTTTGACCTTACCCTACCAATTTCTTTTTCTTATTTTGCTCTCAGGTACGTTCCTTACTTTATCTTTTGCTTGCTCTCCAGTTAAAGACCTTTCCAGCTGATGGTCTGATGGGGATCCTGTCACTTCACTGGGTCCCCCCCCCCCCCCCACACTTCTTGGAGTGAAGCATGGAAGAAGACCCTTGCCACTAAACGGTTCCTCGCAGTGGGGCAGTGGTGACAGTATAGAATGGGTCATCCCTTACAAACATAACCCTGGTGTGTGGACCATGAAGAATTGGTGAGGAGTGGGGCAGTGGTGACAGTGTAGAATGGGTCATCCCTTACAAACATAACCCTGGTGTGTGGACCATGAAGAATTGGTGAGGAGTGGGGCAGTGGTGACAGTGTAGAATGGGTCATCCCTTACAAACATAACACTGGTGTGCCTTCCTCCCATGTTAGTAGAGTCGGGGTGAGCACACACTGTATAGTCTGATTATGCCCCAACCATGCTACCCACATTGGCTCAGTGACTGCTTGCATGCAAGTGCTTGGATGGTCATGTTTTCTTTGCACCCATACCTCCAACACTTGGGGGGCTCATTTGTTTCTCCCCTTATACATTTTGATTTGCCCCTATGGAACACCTGCCATTGGGTGTCACAAACGCAAGGACTTCCTTTTGGGTGCTTTCTGAAGGGAGTCCATCTTGGTAAATTTTACACTCATTAAACGAAGTTAACATGATAATTTATCTCTGATAGATACCTCTTCACACGGAAATCCCCATTGCATGTCTATCTGGGAAATTTGCATGCCACCTGCCTTGAAGTAACTCCCACTTAAATTTCACGTTTAACATGAACTGTGTTGGTACACGATGACATCATCATGCAACAAAAGCCTTCCACCAATAGGAGGGTGATACAACCTCTAAGTGTAGTAACTCATCCTATGCACTCATGAAACTGTTATTCTTTGACAAGGCAAGGCAAAAAATATGTATTGGAAGTAGGGAGGATGGGTGAGAATGTGTGGGAAGATAAGTATCTATCGGAAATATATTTTCCAATAAGGAAAACGTTATCTTCCAAGACAATAACTCACCTCTGCATAAAGAAATGCTTGAATCCCACATTGAGGTGGTGGAGAGGCTTAGACGTATTTAATTAAGAAGATCAAAGAAAACATTTTTACCTCTGTATCTTTATAATGTGTGTAATAGATGATAAATCTGCAGTTAATTTTAATATATTTTTTTCATTTGTTGACCATAAATCTTTCTGCACACTTTAATTTATTGTGTTGTTTAAACTTTAGTTTAAAGCTCTATTTATTTAATATTTCGTCAGAGAAAAGATCTCGGTTTAAAAAGTTAGTGCCTTAGGTGACAAAGTATTGGGCTTGTGAAAAAATCTGTAGTTTTTTTATTAAAAAGACTTGCAAGCCTAGTTAAATTTTATATTAAGCAGTTGAACTTTGTTTAAACTAAATATGTTATACAGTGAAACATGAAAACAAGTGTAAGTGTAGACATAAGAGTAGTTGGTATTCACTACAATAACAGAATGTGCATGTAGAGAAAACTGCCGTAGTAAACTTAGGTTTATATTATTTAATTTCTGAGATATGATGATGGAATTCCTCCTTTTGGTTCGTTTCAAATTATTTTTCGGTATGATTCTGTTGCATTGCAAATGTTTTTTCTATGTTCTTCTGTATCCCTGTTTTGTTTTCCAAGAAGTTAAAAACCTTCATACATTGGAATATATATATATAAATTTGGAAAGCTAACTTTAAATCATTTTATTTTTTTTTCTATCCAGAAGGAGATACAAAAACGACAAGTTTTAAAACCCAAACTGTCCCGATTTCAAAACAGTTTTGATAATGTTTCTCTTCCTATCAAATGTTGGACATTAATACTTAGGCTAATGATAAGAAATAGAAAATAAATTGTACTTCAATAGAATTTATCTGAAGTTAACTTTTCAGGGTATGTTATTCATTCATTACTTACTTTTCTTACAGGTAAGAGATCTTGCCATACAGGAATTGGGATGGCGGCAGGATGGGTGGTGCCGTTAAGCTTTCTACTAACCAATGAAAGAATGAGATCATTTGGGTGCAATTCAGCCCACGCTGCTGCAGAGTTTTTTCAAAAAAGTTGCGTACCTGGAGCGCTGTCCCGAGAGTACACTGGTGGGTTTTGGAGTTATGACAATCTCTGTGATCTGTGCCACGGATCCAGCTTTGGTTTTTGCAGTCGAGACTCTTTAGAGCCATTTTATGGTCACACGGGAGCATTCCGGTGCCTCGTGGAAGGAGGAGGAGAAGTAGCCTTCGTGAAGCATACCACCATTGTGGAAAACACTGCAGGCAGAAATCCCCAGTGGTGGTCTCGTAATGTCATGCCAGATGACTTTGAACTTTTATGTAGGGATGGCACTCGTGCTGGCTATGACGAGTACGAAGAATGCAATCTCGGCAAGGTGTCCGCAAATGCTATTGTTACGAGTGCAGACAAACCGGAGGACATCATTGAAGCTTACATACGGCTGTTTCTGTACGGTCAACAGTTTTATGGTTCCAAATACAGTGAAGAGTTTACCTTTAAGATGTTTGTTTCAGAGTTGGGCCAGAGTGATCTTATCTTTCAAGATGCTACACAACAGTTGAAAGAGATCCCACCAGATCAGAGGGACATTGATGTCTACCTTGGAAATGACTTCGTACAGTCTATGAAAATTGTAGACTGTACGGCAGGAAGCAGTTCTTTAAGTGTATCACATCTCTGGATGTTCTTTATTATCGTCCTTTCTCTACTCTCTCGTACCTAAACTCCACGAGGCTAACTGTGGCTGTTTAATAAGCTAAAAATAAAAATGCTGAATGCTAAAAATAGGATTCCTTCACATGTTTGTTTTACCAATTTATTGTACATTTTGTGGTTTTTTTTAAACATACCACGTGTAGTTTCAAACGTTTTAGACGAAAGACCTTTTAGTGTGTTTTTACTAATTAATTTTGTAACAATCAAGTTCTTTTGTACTAAAGATTATTGGTTTTAAACTGGAGTACTTTTGTTACTCTGTGGTACATTCCAGAAGGTTTAGAAAATATTTAGCATTATGTATACATATTGTAATTTTTATTTTTATACTTCAAACAGACATTTTAGTTCTAAATAAGTCATTTATGAATTAGTGCAAAGTTTGAATTTATTATTTACTCTCATTCCTTGTGCCTGGTACGTGTACAGTTTTCTACTTAATGATTGCAAGTTTCATTCTTGATGACATTCTCTATTTCATTAAAAGCTATCTACTTCATGAATTTACGTATGTATTATTTTTGATGTGAGAAACTGTAGAAGTTTGCATTAATTTCCTGCAAGGTGATTATTTGAATTAACCTTTCTTTTTTTTATGATCTAAACATTTGTATAATGTAGATTAAGATAAATTCTTTATCAAAATATTATTAAAACTAGGATGGACATCACTGATTTTTTTCATCAAGAGACTGTAAGATGGACGTAGGTCATTATCAAAAGACTTAATGTTAAGACTTTAGGATGGACATTGGTCATTTATTTAAAATTTTGTTTTAACTAGGTTACTTGGTGCTGTTTAGGCACTGAAACAAAGGTATTTTTCGACCGTTATTATTACTATTATGCTACATTCCATTATATAAACATAAGCTAGTAGAGAGTCCAGTATATAGATCTCAGTACATGTAAGTCAAACAGTGTACACGTTACTGCATGTTACAAAATACACATTTGCCTGTAGTATCGAAACTTGTAGGGAATGGAATGTCATTCGTTATTCACGAGAAAGTGTTTCTTCAAAAAATAATACTGTTAATTTAAATATATTTGAGGTCACTGTATATACCATTCTAATAGTAGTTAATTGTTAATAATTTAGTTTTCTAAGTATGTGTGAAGAACAGATACAGTTATTCTCATATGAAGACCCATTTAGGACTGGTATTTTGATGCACGAGTAGTCTTAACTCATGAGAGATGCGTGTATCTAACTTTTTTAATGAATTATAAGCTTAATAAAAATTTTAATATGTTGCTTTAACCTCGTCTGTTTATGTGCAACTAACAGCTTTAAAAGTATATTTACTGCTTTGATTAATCTTTTAATGGCTACTCTTTGTGACTTAGGGAGAGTAATTTTTTTTTTCTGAATTCTCAAACAGTGAATCTGATTTTAATCTCTCAGTTAAATATAGTTATTCAATTTCATATAGCTTATATTTATAAGTCTTTTTATTGGATCTGCAGTTTTAAAAGAATGAATTGTATTTTTATTTATGGATGTTTGAGTCTAATGGGTAGTTTATTTGATGTAAAACTGAGGTGAAGGTACTCCGTCCGTGTACTACTGGGCTGTTGTTTTTTGTTATCAAAATACATATATTTATATACATTTTAATACTTTGAGCACTCAGGGTGGTGGTTATACAGCAAGTAACTTTAAATAATGATATTTTATGATCTTGTGTGTATAAATAAAAAGTTGTCTTTACAATGTAGAGAGATAACTATATATTTTTGCAAAGTTTACTTTATAGAACACACTTGCAATTCATAGTCGTTGTTATATGTATTTTTTGTGTTACTTTTTTTTATTAATGTGTTTTCGACCATAATCATGAACAAACAAACTTGTAATGTTGGCATTTTGAAAATAAAACAATAAATTAAAACATCTTATCTGCTGCCGTATTTTTTAAAAGTAGCAGAGAAAGAATAACCGACTCCTCTGTTTTCAGTATACACACAATGATTTTAGCCTTTTTTATTTTATTTTATTTTAGTTCTGGGTAAGTAGTGTCATATATATATATACTTCTAATACAATTCCGTAAGTGTCGGATATATTTTTTAAAAAGTATGCAATGAGAAGCTTGAACAATGACAATAACTTGGGATCATTTCCATAAACTGTTAATCCTGGTAGTTTTCGCATTATTCCTCAACAAATCCGGACTTAAAACACTAAAATCCGGGGTGTAATTCCTAGAGGTGAACAGGGTGCAGATAGTTCACTGTGTAGGTTTACACTGAAACAAACACACATTCAATCAAATCCTAATCCGTTCAAAATACTTAGGCCTATATTCAAGGCAAGGATGCAGATCGGCATTAATTCAGTTTCGAAAGATATCTACTATATATGCCAAGTATGATTTTAACTGTTTTTTTTCATAAGAGATGGTGAACGAAAAACGTAAGCTTGTACTTTCGTCTGATACCCCAAATATTGAAGAAAAAAAAACGTATATAATCAGGTTATAATATGCCTTTTCTAAGTTTATTTTGGCATAATAACTACTACACACTCTGCTTTATTTCACAAGATTTAGCCAGTTTGACTAAGTATTATGAACCCATTATTGTTCAATACGTAAACTAGTGATGTCGCTGCCTGTGTGTAACAGAAAAATACATTCCAGAAATTGCGTAAGTAATTTGCCCTTTTTCAATGAAGTAGAAATTAGAATATTTCATAAAAATTTTTTTTAAACGCTTGTTCTTTCTTTTCATAACTAAATCTAAACGTGATTAGCAGATCTTCCATTGTTTCGTATATCTGAAAAATGTTATTTTTTTTATTATAACAAAAACGCTATGATCTAAATGTATATTAAAATCTTATCCTCTAGCAATGGATTAGTTGTATACTTGATGTTTATAACGCTAAAATTTGGAACTCAAACCCTGCAGTAAACACAGCTTTAGGTTTAATAAGTTTTAGTTCGTTTCTTTGTAATGTATTTCACCGCAAAGCTAGTCATCACCACCCACCGCCAACTCTTGGGTTACTCTTTTTGCCAACGAATAGTGGGATTGACCGTAACATAATAACAGCTGAAAGGGCGAGCATATTTTGTGGGACGGAGATTCGAACCCGCAGATTGAGAGTCTAGCGCTATAACCACCTGGTCATGCTAGGCCCAGTTGTAGTTCTAAATAAACCAGAATTGCAGCCAACGTAATATATTATCTTCTGCTTAAATTTAAATCAACATAAGTCAAAAAAGCTATATGCACGAAAAAACAACAACATCGCTTTAGTATAATTAACATTAGTTTTGTGTTCCACGATGGGACAGAAGTAAGTTTACAGACGTGCACGCTAAAATCTGGAGGTCGAATACCCGTAGTGGACAGAGCACAGGTATCCAAATGCGTAGCTATGTGCTCAAAAACAACGACAAAGTTTGCGAATTTCTTTTCCTCACTAAAATGTGAATATCAAGGAAGAAAACTTGACGTAGATGCAATGACGTAACTTCAAAAGATGACCCTACCCCCACGCAATGGCCAGGGCATACTTATCCACTGTGTAGAGGGGTAATCTATTTTTTGAGTTTCTATTTTCACTGTAGCAGACTTGTTTCGCTAAATTCACAGTTCATTAGTATTTCTTGAAAGAGCGAAACATATAATCAAATTAGGATTCGCATAGTAGTGGAATGCAAACAATTTGTTTGGTTTTGAAGTAGGACTATACACCAAAACCAGGCATCAAGTTTGAGTCAAACTAAGCTACCCATACAATCATAACTAAAAACCAACTAGGCATTGAGTATAGCTAATTAAATATACGGTCTTTACAGTCTAATTCTAAAGATTATGATGCATAGTTTCATGAGTGTTAGAAATATTTGTGACCAGCCTAGTTTTATATTTCAGTAAACAATATTCTTATTATGTCCATGCAAAATTCCTGGTAGCTGAATTCACTCAAATCATGATTCAATGCAAAATGAAAAGAGAAAATTTTGCGAAATGATATTTTGGCTATTAAATTCAACTACTTCCAGCAGAGGCCGCTTTTTTTCAGAGTTAAATCGACAAAAACAAATTAAGGTTTCAAAAATCATATTTAAAGAAGTACTCATTTTATTGGTTATTGTCAGTATCGTAATTATTGAAAATTTGTTGATTCGCCTAGTATGTAATTTTCAAATTTTGAAAAAGTTTTGTGGAAATGACCCTGAAGCTTTCAGATGACCAAATATATTATAATATTAGAGTTAGACCAGTGAAACTAGAAAAAAAAGGTTTGTGTAGTTAGTTCGGTAAAACGTTTCAGATAAACAATCATTTATATACTTTCAAATAGTCAAAACTTTTTTCATCACTGTTGACTTTCATTTTCCATCTAATTAACTTGCACGACTAGCAATAATAAAATAAGAATATGTACGTGGATAATGGAGAAAAAGCCGGAGACCAAGAGTTTCATTACATTTTAATAATACTTTTATTAATAGCAATATTAAATTTAAAGTTATTCCATGTCTTGAGTTTTAGATTATGTGTAATAACAAATTATCATTGTTTATCTGCAAATTTAAAGGTCATATGTTATGGTGAAGAAGGCTCCAACTGTCCATGTTATTGTTAATTTTTGTCGTGTAATATATCAATGTGGGGAGACCAAGAGTTTCATTACATTTTAATAATACTTTTATTAATAGCAATATTAAATTTAAAGTTATTCCATGTCTTGAGTTTTAGATTATGTGTAATAACAAATTATCATTGTTTATCTGTAAATTTAAAGGTCATATGTTATGGTGAAGAAGGCTCCAACTGTCCATGTTATTGTTATTTTTTGTCTTGTAATATATCAATGTGGGGTAAGAAAATTTATTCTTAACTTTGTTTAATGCAAACTGGAGTTTATTATGAGTCATTTTCGATTTGAATTTCTGCTGTTATAAGTTGAATAATTTAAAAAATCTTATACAATTTCAATCTTAAACACATTTCTTCCATGTTTGATATTGTCGATCTAAACTACATACACAGGTGAAAAATTAACAATAACCTGTAGAGTTGGGGCCTTCTCCTTCCTCATTACCAAATTTAATGCTATAATTAGGACTAGTAAGATACCTTATTATGATTATTCTATTAATATATAAAACCAAAGAATCATAGGTGCTCTCTTAGTGTGATACAACACTACCAGTGTAGTTGGTGATAATAATATCAATATTTTATTAACATAATCAACGATGTTATTTATATTAGGCTTAATGTTAGGTGGATCAGAGTCAGAGAAGTTTTAACTCAAATAATTAAGTGGTCTAGCTTCTTTGTACAGACTTCTGACAAGAGAAATGGATTAATGTTATTTAACTTATGTAGTACATATTGGTGTATAAAATTTTTCTAATACTGGGAATGAACAATCTTATAACACCAAATTTGTTATTTTTCTTTAATTGGACACAAAACGTTTTGTTTTAAAGCTTTTTCAGTAACTTCCACTAAAGCAGATTCTAAATCTAACTGATAATATGAAGCTTCAAATGGTAAAGTGAAACAATGAGCATCCTATTAAAGAAAAATAATAACTTTGGTGTCATAAAGTCGTTTATTACTAGTATTAAAATGGATTAATGTTATCTGTAGGCTGTATTCGGTTAAAATACAACTCATTAATGAGTTACTAAAGGCATTAGGTTTCTTCACACAGAAAAACAAATGGTGGGAAAGGTTTACTATGGGTAGAAAACTACAAAAATGAGTATGTAATGAACAATTTAGACTTCAAATATTTAATTTTATAAATATGAAATAGGCTTAGCAGCTTCAAAATGTGGGAAAATTTGAGAATTACTTTAGGTTTAAACTACATAACTTCAGCATCTGTTAGTTTAGTCACAATTTCATTACATTAGGGTGTAATAAGTGAATAAAAAGAACTGGTTCTCCACAAGGTTAAACAACCCTTGGTGAATTATGTGTTCTTTTAAACTGTTGGTTAAAACTTGTATCCAAGAATTTAATAGATTGGTTTATTTTTGTCTGTGTTAAAGTAAGCAAATACTAATAAATACAAACACATGCACAAAAATTGTTAATAGTCAGTTTTATTGTAGGTATATTAATATTTGATCAACTTTTATTTTATTGTGGAAAGTAATACCACTTATACCATTACTTGAATAATATACACAAAAAATGAGATAACCTCTGGAGGAACTTGGCTTACGAAGCCTATCATACTTTATTTTGAGATACACTGAATTATAAGCTTCCAGTTATTAAATACCCTTAGAAACATATACAAAAAAAATTGAGCATTATAACTGAATAACACCAAAATGAAGATAAAATCACATAACTTTACTGCTGTTACCACTGCTCACAGAATTTCAACCATCCATTAAGACACTTGATAGTTTTATGTATGCAGTGTATGCATGACTTTTGTTACTTACCTAAAGTACCACATTACACAGTTTAAAAAACAAGAGACATTACACAGTTTAAAAACCAAGTGTAGGTAAGTAACACAAAGTACCACATTACACAGTTTAAAAACCAAGTGTAGGTAAGTAACACAGGGTACTTCATTACACAGTTTAAAAACCAAGTGTAGGTAAGTAACACAAAGTACCACATTACACAGTTTAAAAACCAAGTGTAGGTAAGTAACACAAAGTACCACATTACACAGTTTAAAAAACAAGTGTAGGTAA